TGTTTCTTCCGCTCATCTCTCTCTCTTTGTATCTCTCTCTCTCTCTCTCTCTCTCTCTCTCTCTCTCTCTCTCTCTCTCCCTCTCCCTCTTTCTCCCTCTCTCTCCCTCTCTCTCACTTCTCGCAGGAGCCCCATGCCCCGACGGATGTCGAATATCCTTTGTTCGCACGCGGAATCCTGCGACGCCCGCTGGCTCTTTTTGTCGGGCCCCTCGCGAACCACTGGAACTCCCTGAACTACTTTTGAGGCTGATTCCCGTTCGCCAGTGTCGCAATGTCGCGCAGCAGTGCGCTCCTCCTGCAGGTGCGCTGTGTGGCTGTGTGGTGCGTTTGATATGGCCGACGACGAGGCTCTGTTCTTGAGCGTGTCACGAGGCGACCTGGCTCGTACCCAGGATCTCCTGGCGGCTGGAGCGAGCGTGGATGGCTCCCGCAAGCTTGACTGCTGTCCGCTCGGGGTCGCCGCGGCTCTGGAAGACCTCGACATGACCTCTCTCCTGATCGAGAGGGGGGCGAAGCTCGACCTGGGCGCCCCGCGCGACGTGCACAATAGACTCACCGGGGCGCTGACAATGGCGAAAGGGGTCCGGCCGATTCACACGGCGATCGGCAGTGGCCAGTACGAAGCGTTCCGGCTCTTGATGCGGGCGGGAGCAGACCCGAACGTCGCGAACGTGGACGGCTTCACGCCGCTCATGTCAGCGTGCCTGGTTCAGAGGGTGGGGCCGCACCGGGCGTCGATTGTCCGGGAGCTGCTGGACGCGGGTGCAGACCCGGCAATGGTGGACACCTACGACCTGACTGCCATGCACTTCGCGGCCGGCAAAGGCAGGGTGGAGCTGATCGACATGCTGGCTGCCATGGCCCCCGCCACGCTCCACCGGGCGGGAAAGAACGGCTTCACGCCGCTGGGGAAGGCGGCGGCCGGCGGCGAGGCTGCCGCCGCCGCCCGCATCCTCTGCCTGATGTTGACAGTGGGGCGGAGACCATCACCGGCGGGGGCGACAACTACGTCACGGAGCAGGTGCCCGCTCAACGTCGCGATGGAGGCCCGTCACGGGAACGTCGTGGACGTCTTGCTGGACAACCTCGACCCGATCAAGAGCTCCGTCGACTTCGGCACGGCCATCAGCAGCGCCTTGGTCACGAAGCGAGCGAGGCTCCTGAGCAGGCTAGTCTCCGCGGTCGGGGAGGAGAGAAAACAAAAGAAGTTAATTGGCGGGCACGACCTTTAGCAGTTGCCCTATTCTGCACATCGCGGCGGCGCAGGCGGACCCCCTGACGACGAGCGTCCTGCTCGCCGCAGGCGCAGCAGAGAGCGTTGTTGACGCGGTAGGCAGGATCGCGAGAGACGTCGTCGCGATGTCACGCAACGTCGACAGCAGCCTGCCCGACGTTGCGGCCACGCGCCGCATGCTGGAGCGGGGCCCGGCGTTCCGCGCTCGTGCCTGGGCGCGGCCGGCCACGACGACGGTCGCTGCCGCCACAACAACAAGCCCGGCTGCGGCTGTCTCTCGGGTACGACAACAGAGGTCTCCGGCGGTTGTCCGCCTCTGTCGGCGACCACCCCACTTTGCCAGGACAAAAGCCAGGTGTGTATGTATGCGCCGAGATCGACCACGGGTGCACGCTGCGTTTCAGCAGGTTTTCCATTTTTTGTTTTGGCGCTTTTGCTGCCCCGTCCACGCTTTCTTGCCGCGCCACGTCGTCAGGTGGCTGAGGTTATTGGTCGTGTGCATGTATCGTAGCTTCATGGCGATTATAGGCCTGCATGTATGTAAACGAATACGTGTGATAATATACGTAAGAGCGACGGTGCATTGTTGAGCGGGTAAGCCCCCGGGGTCTGTTCAGGCATGTGAAGGTGTCTAGAGAAGTACGGACAACTCACGAGAGCGAAACCTGCAGGAGTTGATCTGTGACCGTAAGTATCTTCTTTTATTGCGTTTCTCACTACAGTTTAACAGCAATGAATCAAACTCTTCCACAGGCACTATTAATAGTCAACCGGCGTTATTGACGCCCCCCTCTCGGTCTAACGATCCCCCCGGTGTTTGCCATCGGGGTTAGGTTTTCCTCGCTTGGCAACGACGTTGTAAAACAAGCCAATTCACTTCGTGAACTCGGCAACCAGGTTGCCGTTTTTTTTTCGCCTGTTTTTTTTTTGGCGGGAACCATAATGGTGGTCGAGTAAATCATGTTGTGCGGGGTAGAGAAGCCTCACTCCGAGCAAGGGGGATGATCGCACCACGTTGTGTTAAAATGGTCAAGCACCCTCGAGGCAGTTACACAG